ATATACAAGTTTCACTTTTTAAATGGAATTACTGAAATCAATCTACTTTTTCATGATATTCTAATTTTATGACCAGCACCTGTATATAATCTTTGAGGCTCCAGTGTTTTTCTTCTTGAACATATTAAAAGTTAATCAAACAAAAATAAAGGCGGTGGTGACAGAAAATGAAAAAGAGAAATAAAAGGAAGGAGAGATAGTCATCTGGTTAAAGGTGTATCTTATCTGTTGAGCTTATAGCTTCTGTACACTTTAAAAGAACATATGCTTCTACTTTACAACATTATCCTTTTTAGGCTTTTAAGGAAATACTGGTAGTAGGCATAGTTGACCCGTAGCCCATGAGTTTGATCTGTGAACTAGATCATCATGCCACTAAAAGTTATATTAAGGAATTTATTAGAACATCTAAAATGACAGCATTAGATCTTCTGTCGTATTCGTCATTAACTCTTACCTGAGAGTCATTCTCTTCCTCCTCTCCAGCCATAGTTTCATCCATTATGTCATCATCATCATCATCACTGCTTTCTTCATCTGTCTCCCCATTCTCCTCCTCATCTTCATCGACGATCCAGGTGGCTTGGTAGTCAGATGTTCCCTTAGGAACTTTCATTAAACGCTTGTTCTTTCTGGCCTCTAAACCAAGAAAATAATATTATCTACACATGATATTAAATATACATTTTTTTATTGTAGCCAATGCATTTTTTGATTAGTTACAAGCTGATGCACATTTATTTCAAATGTGCGTCAGGGATAGTTCAAAATATATATCTTTAGAATCAGTTTAAAGTGACATAATGTAGTTATAGCAATGATATTTATCTAAATAAGCTCTGAACTGATCCCAGAAACTTTACATCATAAAGATTTGTTAGTAATTAAATCTAATGTGAGATCAGAGTGGTTTGACCTCATATGAATATCTCAGTGTATTGCTCTACTTTCCTCACCTTCAGCTTCCAGCAAGTCTTGTTCTGTCGGCCAGGTCTGCTCTCCCTCCATGGGATCCACCTCAGCCTCTGCTTGCAGACTCTCCCGGCTGGACGGGTCTGCTTTCATCAACACCCGCACTGGTGCCTCCTTCTCATCTCCATCCTTTAGCGAACATACAAAGAAATAATAAGACATCATTTAACATTTGCTTGTAATGTGTTATGCAGAGTGCAGCTCTCATCCTGTAGAAATTAAAGAAGTTCATTAAGGTAAACAACAAGTGGCCGGCTGTGTGGAACATGACTTCTAAAATATATATTTTTTTTAAATCACAGACAAGCTTTCAGTTTTGTAAATGTAAAAATTAATCTTGTTTTTGCAGCAGTAGAGAAAAATTATTGCCTCAGTCTCTTTTTCTAAAAAAGAATCATGAGAATCTCATATCTGATCATACCTCCAAGATTTTGCAGCATGCAAGAAATATTTTTAAATCAAGGCACATTTATCACATATGAATCCGATTTAGGATAATAAAAAAAAACCATATTGATAGAACAGAAAATGACAGTTTGTGTTTTACTTTGTGTTGCCTCCAGCACTACAATCACACTATGCCTGCCACATTTATCTAAAAGGATTTTAAACCCTTAATATTCATGCAATTTTTTAGGTAAATCAAGACATCTGGTTTAGAATTTCAATAACCTTTTAAGTTCAGGTCAAAGAAAGACCTACCTGCATCTCAACATCTCTTCCTTTTCCAGGTTTTGTTTGTCTTGTAAGGTTCAGAGGCAGAGGGTCTGATGGAGCATCAATCTGACTGAGCTGAAAGTCTCCATGGCCGCTGATGTGCGCCAGTCTGTCAGCATGGAGAGCGCGACCTCGGACATACCCAGATACACAGAGGGTCCCCAGATCAGTCGGCCCACTCCCCTCTACGGGGCTGTTTGGTGTGAAAGTGACGTGCTGAGCCAATAGATGGGAACGTCTGGAACGGAAACCCAGCTTTCTTTGTCTCTGACTTCCTAGGTGTCGTAGGAGAAGAGTGGCGTCTTGATCCGAGTCGAGTGGAAAGAGTCGCGTATCTGGGAACCGGATTTCTGTGATCTTTGACAGAGCTTTCCTGAAGTCAACTTTCTTCTTCACGGAAACATCAGACAAACCTTGACACACCAGAGCTATACAGGGCAGATTTAAGAGCGATATCAAGCTTAGAAAACATCGAAAGAAAAGACATGCATAAAATGAAAAAAAAAAAATGTTGAATCTGCCTGATAATGTCATAAATGTGAACTGACCATGGCTTGGAAGTCCCTGAGCAAAGAGGCAGGAGAGACAGTGATCTCCATAATTGTCCCAACCTTCAGTTGAATCAAGGACAAACACAAGGCTGTCTGCAACCTTTGCCACATCCAGCAGGGAGTGCATGTCAGCTGTCCAAAAAAACAAGAACAACACCTTGAGAAATTAGTAAAAAGCTGAGCTTAAAAATAAATAAATATTCTAAGTTTAAATTATCAAGCAGATTTCAAATTAACATTTAGGGTTATGATCTCCTTTTTTACTTTAATAGCTTATTTGCACAGCGTGTATTGTATTATACAGATGTTATTTCATCAGGAAACCAAAATAATAACCATTTAAAAAGAAATACAAGAGATGCATGACTCAATTTGGCAAAAATTGAAATGACCTAACTATCTATTGACTCAGCATTGATTATTGATGGCATGCCAAACCCAAAAGCTATGACAAATAAGACCAGATTTAGTTTAAAACAGCATAAACTTGGAGACACCTTTTTAATTAAAGAAATTAACTTATTATCAAAAAAATATATCAGGACAAGGGTGTTAATGTTTAATGTACAAACATCTGGCTCTTTTTCCAAATTGTCTCAAGTAAAAATTTCTCTCTTTTTGCTATTGCAAAAAAGTGAAAAAAAAATCTATGAAAATTCTGAATGTTTGTCATCAGCATGGTATACGGCAACGCAGATGCTGGTCAAGAACCATTCAGGTGTGACCATTGATTCATTTTTGCTGGAGAAGGGCTTCTTCTAAAACCTGCAGGACAGTAGAACTAATATACATGTTTAACATCACATTAGTTGGGGTGTGCTTTGGTGGCGCAGTGGTTAGCGCAGACGACCAATGTATGCTTAAAGGCAGATTATACTTTTGCCTCCGCACACATCAAATGTTGCTTGGGTCTGGTCATGAACCAGTGTTGCTGGTATGCTTCTGCACCATCGGCCTATAATTTCTAGGGATGCACAGCAGTTTACTGCCAAAGTGCAAAGGGGAGCCTATTCGAGAACCCGCAAGAACTTCGGCGGATGGTCACGAGAACTTGGGCGGTGCCAGCAGGCGTGTTTATTTTCCAAAACAACAATGGCGCGTCCGCAAGAATCACGGTCACAGAGATGGATCTGGAGTTGCTAGACATCGAAGAGGAACAGGTTCTTTTAATGGAGTTGGCAAAAAGACCAAATAAGCGTTCGTCGTAGCTGTCCATTTGAGTTGTTCCTTGGTTCTTAAATATTGCGCATCCTGGCACCGAATCGAGAAGGACGACCACACAGACAGCCAGAAAGGCATACCAAGGACCAACCACAGCTGCTTTTTGTCTGCGCACTTTAGTTTAAGGTCTGCGGGTTTGTGACCATCTGACGCGTAGTCAGGATTTTTTTTTTGGTGCACCACAACGGTTGCAGAACCTCTGTGCGGGGGCCATGGTTGCACACAGAGACAGATTTGACGTTTGCAGAGGCTATGCGTCAGAAGCATAAATTGGCCTTTAGCCCTCGACGAGGCCAACCCGGATTTGAATCCGGCCTGTGGTTCTTTCCCGCATGTCTCTCCCCCTCTCCTGTCAGCCTACTTTCATTAAAAACGAGCCACTAGTTCCGTAAAAACTTAAACTAAACTGCATGCACTTTACTTGACATGCCTCAGAAACATCAAAGATGTTTTTGAGACGTGTCTAACCTGTGTACAAGCATGAAAAATACAACAAGCCCTTTTTTGATGAAGGCGCTGAAGGCGCATGCACTGTGAGTGTAGCATTGCACATTCTGATTGTTTGAATTAACCTAAACCTTAAACATAATATTGTACCTGAAAATGATCTCATGTCTTCCTTATGAAATTTTGCATAATCCGGACCAAAACGATGTTGTAACAAAGACAAAAATGTAGTTGCATTCAGCCTCAAAATGCAGGAAATAGCGTTTCAGAGTCTAAATTTCAAAATTTTCCAGGGGAGGATACCCCTGATCTGCCCCTACGCAGCACAAAGCCTAAAGATGTAATACACCAAGGTGTACACTCTATGAAATATTCCTAGCTAAGAGCCTGTTCTCTATAAAGAAAAACTGACTTGGTTAAAAGTCAGGGGTTATGGGTATCCTTCTACCGTCTCAACATACTCTGCTTAAATGGTGGCCCATTCATTATACAGCTGCTGTAAGAAGGTCAAGTTTGTCGGCCACCTTAGAGGCAGTAACTGGGAACTGGTCTTTTTTGATTCATTCTGTAACATAAAAAAGGGCTCCATTAGGAGTGTATTATGGCATCCAAAGAACTAAATTTTGTTCTCCGCTTACCACACTATGTTCTCCCACTATTTTACAGACTTGTCCAAATGCTGACAGAGTACTAAATTACCAAAACCATGTTCATCTTAAGGAAATAGAACTATTTTCTGCCTGACTGTTATGATTCCTTGACATTTTCATGTTGTTTTTACTTGCATATAACTGCATGAATGTGGGGCATTCAGGCATCTTGAAATTTGTACCCAAGGATGAACAAGAAATGTATCTTTCTGATCTGATACCCCCCCCCATTATGTCGCACAAAGATACTTGCTTAAGGTGTCAGGTATCAGAAGGGTATGAAGGCCTAGTGCCATCATTTGGGCTTTTAAAAACTCTCTTATGGTATACAAGGCTTAAGTGAAGTGACATTCTGACATTTACCAGCACACGATGTAAAATATCTAGTTTCAACCTAAATTTAAAAACATGTCTTTTATATAGGATTAAAAAAATCACCAACTAGCTTAATTTATTCAACTTATCAAAACTGTATTCCTATTTTTTTTTTTTTTAGTGGCTCGTTTTTTCGACAGTAGGCTGACAGGAAAGGGGGTATGAGAGAGGGGGACAGGGGGACATAGGGGAAGGGACCAGAGGCCAGATTCAAACCCGGGTCAGCCACGTCAAGGACTAAGGCCTCTGTACATGGGTCCTGCATGCTAGCCACTTTACCATCTGCACGCCCTATATTCTTGATTTAAGAAGCGCCATTCTGCACATGACAAGACTTACCTGTGGTCTGGTTTAGAAATGTGAACCTCTGTTTGAAGCGAGGCAGAATCAGTCCAAAACTATCACTGACACCACTGATGCATTTCTCTTGCTGCAACACACCCCCAGCGCCTTCGCTTCTCAGCAGTTTGGTAATAGCTGCAGCATCAGCGTTGGCATGCAGGGACACTACAGCCACTAGATGAGGAGGACCGTCCCTGCTGCCGAGTCGTCGCTTTTCTGTCAGAACCTACAGTGAAAAAAAAGAATGTTAAGGTTTGCAAAACCAATCAGGAATTTAAGAGCTCCAGGGTGCAAGGATGTTACCTGGTCTTTCTTGGTTCTTCGAAGCTGGTTAGCTTTATGTCTTCTATCCATTTTCTTCAGCTCCTTCCTCTGTTTTTTAGTAAGGGTTGTCACGGATACCCTGCCTAGGAAGAAACACAGTGTAAGGATGTTTAAGGAGCTGAGTGTTTTGCAAGAATACAGTTAACAGAAGGAAGTTTTTACTTTGCACTCATTTATTGTCACTTTGCTTTTTAATGTAAGGCATGAAATATCAAGAGGATTAAAACCTGAGCTATATCATTTTGTTTTTATAATGAAAATACTGAACAATTTCCGATTAATCATTATTCGTGAAATATTTTATTTTTATCATTATTAATATAGTAATATAATATTATTATAATTTATTTTGTTTAATTTTCTGGTCAAATAAAAAAAAAAGAAAAACACAGGAGCACAACAGAAGATTAACAATTATGTCCTACATTTGCTGCCGTACAAGGCAGAATGTGGATCTGACCCTGCATCGGATCCTTCTCATTGCTTTGCCACTATTTGTTTTATCTCTCAGTCGGTATAGTAGCATGCCTGATGGATTTATATCCTCAAAATAAAAGGCTTCTTTATCATTCCTCCTCCACCTCCTTGAAGTGTAAAGCAAGGATTCAACAGTCGACATGTCAAACAAATGTCGAACACATTTAATTGGCAGTATTTAAAGAATAACTTGTATATAAATCTATGAGGTGCCCCCAGGGACATAAATCAGAATTAACTTGCATATACACATATTAAATTACTATGAGGTGCCCCCAGGGACATAAATCAGAATTAACTTGCATATACACATATTAAATTACACTCTTCCATATAATATACTGAAAACCTCACACAAACACTAGTAAAAAGCTCTCACATAAACTAGTGAAAACATTGACCTCTTATTCAATCTACTCAAAAGCTCTCATACAAAGTAGTGAGACCTGTTCATATAAACTGGTGAAAAG